ATACCTGAAAATTGAGCGTAGTGTATCTATACAACTCCCCCAGTTAGCATTACTAAATCCAAGGACTTGAATATTTGAGTTTCTTGGAAAGAAAAGCCCATGTCCAAGACTTTGTTTAAGATATCGAAGTATGCGCATTACTCTTCTATGATGAGCTTCAGTAAGGGTTGACATAAATTGACTAAGTTGTTGAGTGGCAAACTAATGTCCGGTTTAGTAATGGTTGAATACAGCAACTGACCAACAAATCTATGATAAGAAGCAACATATGAAAATAAGGAGCCATCATCATTTTATAAACAAGTTGTTAGATCTAAAGGTGTGTTAATTAGTTTACATCCAGTAAGTACAGAATCTAAAAAAAGTTCCAAGCAATACTTGCATTGGCAAAGAGAAATTCCATGTTAAGAATAAGCTACTTCCAATCCAAGGAAGTACTTAAGATGTCCCAAATCCTTGATTTGAAAGGCATCATGCAATAGACACTTAATTCGATCAAATTCAGACAAAGAAGTACTAGCTAAAATTATGTTGTCCACATATACAAGCAAAACAATGTATGATGTAGAGCTAGATTTGATGAAGAGGGTGTGATCTACATGAGCTTGAGTAAAACCATAGGATATTAAGAATGATTCTAGCTTCTCAAACCACTTTCGATTAGCTTGTTTAAGCCTATAGAGAGACTTAAGCAACTTGCAAATTTGTCCTGGTCGTGGAGCTGAAACACCTTAGGGAGCTATCATATAAACACATTCTTCAAAATCACCATTTAGAAATGCGTTGTTTACATCTAGCTGATGAATGTACCATTGACGAATAAAGGCTAAAGCTAGCGACATGCAAATAGTGGTTAACTTAGCAATTGGTGAGAAAGTATCGAAGTAATTTAGTCCTTCTGTTTGACTATACTCCTTGGCCACAAGTTTAGCTTTAAATCTTTCAATTTTTCCATTAACATGACATTTGATTTTAAAAACCCATTCATTTTCAATTGGCACAACTTCAGATGGTGCATCAACAAACTCTTAAGTACCACTAGCATTCAACACATCCACATCTTTTTGCATTGCATCTTGCCACCGTGAGTCTCTACTTGCTTCCTCATATGATGATGGTTCTATATTTGCTGTTAAGGCCATTATATAAGATTGGTGATTTTGTGAGAGATGAGAATATGTGAGGGAATTTGATAAAGGATAAGGTGTTAAGGATAGCGAGTTGAAAACATAATTTTCAAGATATGCAGGTTTATGTCTTGGTCTAGTGGAATGTCGAATTTGCTAAGCATATGTGAGTGTGTCACTATTAGTATGTGTGGGCTCTAAAAAGGCAACAACATCTAGAGTTGGAGAGGAGCTAGAATCTTTATTTGGATTAGAAGGAGGAAAATCATCAAGGTAAATGTGAGGTATGACATTGGTAGGATGTAGTGAAGAAATGTATGTGTGAAAGGGGAAATGTAAGTCATAAAATGATACATCACGAGAAACAACTATCTCTCGGCTATGAACATCCAGGAGCACAAAACCTTTGACCCCTCTTTTAATTCCCAAGAAAGCACACTTGTGTGCCTGTGGATCAAATTTGGTGTGATGAGTGCTGAAAGTAGCTACATAACACAAGCACCCAATGACTCTTAATGAATTGAGATTTGGTTTCTCTCCATGCATCACTTCATACAGGAATTTATTACATAGCAACTTGGCTGGGACTCTATTAATAAGGTAGATTGCATGCAACACAACATAGGACCATTATGTTTTAGGCAAATGAGCCTGGAATATAAGTGCCCTGCTAACATTCAAAATGTGTTGGTGGCGCCTTTCTACTCTCCCATTTTGTTGAGGAGTAGCAACACATGAGGTCTGATGCAACAACCCTTTAGAAGCATAAAATTTAGGAAGCATGAATTCAGGTCCATTATCACTACGAATGGCTTTCAATTTTCTTTCAAATTGAGTCTCAATCATATGTATAAAAGTCTTAATATGAGATGACATCATATTTTGTTTTCATCATAACAACCCATGTATATCTACTATAATCATCCACCATAGTGAGAAAATAACAATATCCATACACAAATTTTGTAGAAAATGGTCCCCATATATCCATATGAACAAGATCAAACATAAATTTGGCATTAGAAATGTTGTAGCGAAAAGAGAATCTTTTTTGTCGTGATGAGTGGCAAATGTCACAAGCAACATGTTTAGACATTGGAATAAAATCATATTGTTTGTGCAAAATTGTCATTCCATCATATGATAAATGTCCTAATCTTAGGTGCCATAAAGTGGAATTAGGGAGTGTACTAGCCACTAGGCTATGAGCTACTACAATACTATTAGTTGTTGTTAAGCATCCTTGATCAACCTTCAAGTAGTAAAGCCCTTAAACTCTTCTACCAAACCGATCATCTTTAGCTTCCTCCCCTAAATGATACACGATTTAGATTCAAATATCAATGTACATCCAAGGTTTACTGACAACTTTGAAATTGAAACTAGATTAAATGTGAACCGTGGAGTAAATAAAACATGATCAATCTTCAATGACTCTGTCAACTTTATTGTGCTTGAAAAATTTTCCATCATTGAACTCCCATTTGGTAATTAGATTGGTATTGAATCAATCCATGTATA